AACTGAGGCTATAGAAAGAATTATTTACTGTAAAGGAATGAATCCCAGAGTATTTTAAGATTTCAGAGTAGCAGCCATGTTAGTCTGTATTCGCAAAAAGAAAAGGAGGACTTGTGGCACCTGAGAGACTAACCAATTTATTTGAGCATAAGCTTTCATGAGCTACAGCTCACTTCATCGGATGCGAAGTGAGCTGTAGCTCACAAAAGCTTATGCTCAAATAAATTGGTTAGTCTCTAAGGTGCCACAAGTACTCCTTTTCTTTCTGAGAGTATTTTAAGTTTCTTGCATGCATAATTTTTGTGTTTTTCATTGGCTCTCTGTCCCACCTTGTGTTCTACATTTGGGCCTGAACAAGGTGAGAAGCATGCACTGGAGTATGACGTGCCATCACCTCAAGAAGAAAAGCGTCCACTCTAGTGTTCAATAAGCCTCAATTCCTCCCAGCACAGCAAACTTGGTAAATAGCATTACTTAGAAAAACTATCACTATTGTGTTTCCCAGAGCGAAGTCTAAAATGAGAATTAGATATCTAGTCCTCTCTATAAACTCAGAAAGGAACCTAACTGAGACAACATCTGAATAAAGATAAAGGAGCCTGCTCTGAGAGCTCCCTTGTGGCACATTAGTATAGAAACCACATTCTTTGTCAGTAGGTATTGGGATTATTCTCCCATGGAGTATGGCCTTCAATCATTGTACCACTGAAAAAAAAAGAAAAACAAAAGCTTAAAGTGAAAACAAAACTAGCGTTTTTATGCTGGGGAAAGAAAGGAGTCGATAGAAACTTGTTAGAGCGGTGGACAATAACATCTTTGCAATTTTGTCATGACAATGCTAGTAACATTACCACTGTATTACCACTAATCTCAGAGTAATATTCAATACCTACAGATGGCAATTGTGAAGTTTAAATATAACAACTGTACATTCAGTACTGAGTTTTTCAAACCTGATGCAATAATGTTTCACTTTTACATTTTCCTTTGAGTTACATGAGTATGTGATAACATGAGGTATCTTAGTAGTATGTAAATATTTATACCACGTCACCTCTTAGCATGCGACCGGCGTGCCCTGCAAAATTAAATAGATCCACCATTAGGGTGACTGTATTGTAAGTTTATCCATTGTGGGCCAGATTTTCATAGACTTTATTAACACAATTATTTTGCTGCCATGTGCAAATCAGGCTATTGAACGTGCAAATGGACAGTTAGATGCATTTGTACTTACATAGTTACCTGATTTGTGTACTCTATTGTGGTAATTGCATATGTAATTTAGGCATGATTCTATGCCTCAATTATATAAACAATCTGCCCCTATATATCTAGGTCATTTTTTCAGTGTGTATGTATAATATTGAAATGTATGTTACAAAATATTCCCAATTCAGCATGTGTCTAACTTCAAGCACACGTATCCCTTTCTACTCTGGTATTTACAATTGGCATGTGCTTAAGTGCCATGCTGAATCTATATTCCTATAAATATATGCCTAGTGTATTTTTATTGTAGTGGAAAGCTTGCCTTGACAACTATTGGATCCACCACTGCCTTTCCTTCACTAATTTCTGCAATCTCAGGCCTGAGACACACCAGGATATATTGTGGAAACTAGGAAACTTGAGACTCTCAGTAGGGGTGAGTGAACTTGTGTTCTTGTTTCAAACCCACAGGAATCATGGGTTTGAAAGTTTGGCTTCAATTCAATCTTGACTAGGTTCACATTCACTTAAGAGAGGCTATGTCAATAGGAGCAGACAGAAATTTTCCAGTGAAATCATAGAGTAAAAGATGGAGGTGAGAGCAGGAAGAGGGTCTATAAGAGGATCCACGGGAGTTCAATTCCCTGTAAGGACCACCACTTTCTAAGGTCATCAGCACACCTAGAATTTGGGACCTTCACCACCAAGCACAGATCTCTACCACTAAATAATCCATTATTTGGTAATAGTAGTCTCTTATCATCTGGGCCCCTCTCAGAAGATATGATATACCTAACCAATATGTTGCATATTTCTGCCGTAGCAGGAAATCCATTAGAAGTTAGGCACAGCAGAAATAAGCTACCTGAAAGCCTCATTCTGCTGGGGGGCTTAAAGAGGGCAAGTGGCTGGAGCTCAGACAGGGCCTGATCCAAAGCCCATTATAATCAAGCATATCGTGAATGCAACCAGTCCAGATAGAACTGGTAAGAGGCAGATTATCTCAGTGATGAGCTGATTCAGAAGCTGCACCTGAAATAAAGTTGTAAATCAGAGTGCAGCATATAAAAATGTCTGTTATATCTGGCTAACGGGGCCCACCTTCCAGAAAGAAATATACATCCTTATTAGCCAAATTCTATGCTTTAATTTTTCTGTTTTTGTAGATATTCTAAGTGCTTATTACTAACAGTTTGTTGTCCCCGGAATTCTTGTTTGTATAGTTGATAAAAAGCATCCAGATGTCACCAAAAATATCTGCCCTGTTCTGTAGTCTGTACTGTACGTCACTCTTTCATATGCTTCTGAGTTTGACATTGAATCAACCATTCGGCACCAGATGGTCGAGTTTTACTCTTCCAGTTTGTTAATTTAATTCCTTTTTTAAAGCATATTGGGGCAATTTTTCTCTACATTCTATTTAGGCTGGAGCCACTTTGCATTTCAGAAGTATCATTTAAAATACAGAGGGCAGGACAGATCTATAATCTGATACTTAAAAGGACAGTGGGCTTTTTATGGTAACTTTTATTTTTATTTTACAATTTCTATCCAAAATTCATGAATGACAGTACCCTTCCAGAGTGTATGATTTATTCTAGGTGTGTAAAGCATCCTATACATTTATGGCACAATATAAATAATAATCTAGTATTATTTTTGCAATTCCAGCAGGTGATGGAATTTCTCAGGTTCATGGAATCACTATAATGGGGTGCAGAACTTCTAACATCTTTAATTATGGCCAATATAAGATCTGATTCTGTTAAAGTAATTCTAATGGGAATTGAGGGCACTCAAATTTTGCAGAAGGGATAGAGCACCGTGCTGGGTGCTGGACTTTAGAATAGTATATTCCAGTGCTCAGTAATGGCCTCCTCACAGCTGAGAACACTGAACATCCGTTTATTTTTTTAAGATCTCATTCCAATTCTCAGAAGGCTTCCAAGTGTGCTAGGGGGCCTTGGGTTGACTTGAATCAGACATCTCTGCAAAGTGGAAGATTGATACCTCTTGCATCTTATTTCTTGTTACTGATCTGCAAGGCAGCAGTCTGGTGATGTTCTCAGAGAAGGATTTAGGAAGTTCTGTATTGTGGCTCCCAACTGCAGACACTGCCAAAAGAGTGCTCTACTCAGCCCCTTTTGTTCCAATTTGAAGGAAGAGACAAATCTGTTGTTTTTTTTAAAACCAGTTCTTCATCCTGTTTGTACAGTTTAGCCTTTAATCAACTTATTAATTGAAGGCTTACTCCTGATATTGGGCCAAATTTCCTGTTGATATAACTCCAAGGGACTTTAATGGAGTTACATCAGCAAACAAATGCATACCATAGATTTTTAATTGGACTCCTTCCTGGATCCCCCATTTTCTATGCATTTTACCATCTCCATGAGCACCCAGTACTGGGCTTCTTGGAAATAACAGATAATCTCCACAATCAGATATTCTTTCATGCTGGATTAACAGTCGCTGACAATGAGTTCAGGGTGGAGAATACTATTCATATACCTGAGACGTGAGCATGAGCCAAAGGAAGTGGTATTCAGAAGGAGGTATATTGCGCATCTGTGGCCAGTCAGTGAAGAGGTTGAGAAAGAAGTGCTGTCATTGCAGATGAGATGATGACCACCTGAAGATTTCATCAGTGCATTGTTTGAGTCTCTCCATGACAGAAAACAGAGTAATGACAATTGAGAGAGGAAGGGTTAAGGAACAAATCTGGGAATCAGGAGGCCCAATTCTGAGTTTATGCCCGTTTTATACACTTAGGTACCTGCATTGACTTCAGGGGACTGCTCCTGATTGACACTATCGTAAGTGAGATCAAACCATCAGCTCTGTGACCTCAGGGAAGTCAGTTAGGCCAAGATTTTTAAAGGTATTTTGGCATTGCTGTGCTCAGCATTGCAATTCCAAACTGATTTAGGATCCTACATCAGATTTTCAGAAGTGACTTAGGCACTTATGGGCTGTACATAAATTAGATAACGTTTTTTGGTGATTTTCAAGACCCCCTCACCCACCTTTGCAACACTAAAACAAATATGCAAGATTAAGGATCCACCCACCTCCAGTGCATCACATAATTTATGGACAGCCCCTTAGTCTAAATCCCATTGACTGCCAATGAGATCTTGTCTCATAGGTGCCTAAATCCCTTTTGAAAATTAGATTTAGGCTCCTAAATCAGTTCAGAATTGCAAAGCTGAGCACAGCAATGCCTAAAAATCTAGGCTTTAGGGACAAATCATGCCCTGATGTACTCCCATTGCATTTTTTTTGATCAATGGTATTATATAGGGTGTAAATCAAGGCAGAATTTAGTCCTCTCCTCCTCCTCCTCAGTATCCTCATCTGTGAAATGGTAATAGTTACTTCAAAAGGAGGTTGGGAGGCTACATTATTTAACATTGGTAAAGTATGTTAGAATCCTTACTTGGAGGGTGCTATATACTGATTCTTCTCTCCATCACACCAGTGTAAATCAGGAGTAAGTCCAATGGAGTTTCACTGGTGTAAAGGGCATTATTACTATGACAATTACTTAAGCAATGATGTGAGAAATAAGAGATTGTTAATTACTATTAATTACATAGTCACACAAGGAAGTATTGGGGGAAGTGGGTTAAGTGAGAAGTACTGTATCATTTTTCTCCTGCTAGAAGCACAAAATGCTGAGTTTACTCTAGTGATTTGAAAACTACCCTTCCAGGATACACAGCTGAAGCACCAAGAGTACTTTCTGCTGACCTATGAATTTCTCACAAATTAATTTACTCCTTAGCAATGTTCACTGACCAAAATAGAAGTTGTGCAGAGTTTTTACTGGCAGATAATTTTGTTAACTACTGTAAGTCAGTATTTCTGGGCAAGGCTACTATGGTAATATGGTTTTCTTTTTCTTTTTTTAAAGAGAGGAAATATCAACACTTTTACACCTATACGAATTCAGACTCATTTGATCCTGCAAATTTCACTCACATGAATACTCTCATTGGCTTTAATGCAAATATTCACAAGTATGTACCAGAGAGCCCAGAGGAAAGATGGAGCAGTGATTAGCAGCCAATCTGGGAGAGAGAAGACTTGGGTTCAGCTCTGCGCTCTTCCATAGACTTTCTCTGTGACTCTGAGCAAGGGGAGAGCCGGCCCTCCTTCCCAGCTCTGTGACTGCCATGGCAGGGGAGAGAGGGAGAGAACCCCCTCCTTCCCAGTCCCAGCTTGGGGGTTGCCACGGCGGGGAAGAGAGGGCACATCCATCGCATTAGAAAGGTAAGACTACTGATATTAAAATATGAGTTGTGTGCTTTTATTTGTAGAACAAAAATGTTAATTATTATTAAGGGTTTTTTTTATATAGCGCTTTTATGCAAAGCGCTTTATAATAGTTAGCTAACGGCACAAACAACATTTGGAAAGATCGTTAAGTGGTCCGCTGAGCCCCTCAGCAATTTTCAAGTGGTCCACAAAAAAAAAAGTTGGAGAACCACTGCTTTAAAGTAAGTGCATTTGCAGTCCTGGCTCTGTGCTATAAAGTCTATGTCAGCTTGGCAAAAACATTTATATACCACTGTACATGGCGGTTTCCTTACCAGTATATTCACTTTTAAAAAGTGATAGAAGGCCAACCCCTAAAATAAAACAATTATATTATTATATTCCAGTACAGCCCAGTGCTCCAGCTTGAAGTAAGGCCCCCAGTAAGCTAGGGTCTGTACAAACACAGAGACACAATCCCAGCTCCAAAGAGCTTACAGACTAAGAAGGCAAATGACACCCAAAGGGTACGTAGACAGAGGGATCCAATTAAATAGATACATGTTTGTATACATTTGCTAAATAGTTTTCATTATTATGAAGTGGCTAACTTTCCTCACCTCCCCCACTCAGGATAGCATCCATAAATTTACTGATTTCTTGTAGATGCCGCAATGGAAGTTGGCATTGGGACATTACCCCAGTTTGCTCTCAGAATTAGTGCAAATTTCCCATTTTCTGTCTCCTATCAGTTTGTTAGGATTGTCATACTTTACTCTGACTGCAGAGGAAATCTTTGAGGATCTTGAGAATTATAGACCAGTCAGCCTAACTTTGACACCCGGAAACATACTGGAACAAATTATCAAACAATTGATTTGCAAGTACCTAAAGGATAATAGGTTGAAGAGTGGTAGCCGTGTTAGTCTGTATCAGCAAAAAAACCGACTAGTAGTTGTGGCACCTTAGAGACTAACACATTTATTTGAGCATAAGCTTTCATGGGCTAAAACCCACTTCACTGGATGCATGCAGTGGAAAATACAGTAGGAAGATATATATACACAGAGAACATGAAAAAATGGGCGTTGCCATACCATCTGTAATGAGACTAATCAATTAAGGTGGGCTATTATCAACAGGAGAAAAAAAAACTTTTGTAATGATACTCAGGATGGCCCATTTCAAACAGTTGACAAGAAGGTGTGAGTAAAAAGTAGAGGAAAAATTAGCATGGGGAAATAATTTTTACTTCGTGTAATGACCCATCCACTCCCAGTCTTATGCCCAAATAAATTTGTTCGTCTCTAAGGTGCTATAAGTACTCCTCGTTTTTTGCTAAAGGATAATAGGGTTGTAAGTAAAAGCCAACATGGATTTGTCAAGAACGAATCATGCTAAACCAACCTAATTTCTTTCTTTGACAGGGTCACTGACCTAGTGGATAGGGGGGAAGCAGTGGATGTGATATATTTTGATTTTACTATGAGGTGTATGAACAACTGGTTGAATGACTGTAGTGAAAGAGTAGTTACCAGTGGTTCACTGTCAAAAAGGAAGAACATATCTAGTGAAGTCCTGCAGTGGTTCTGGGTCCAGTACTATTCAATATTTTCGCTGGAATTGGATACTTGAGCAGAGAGTATGCTTATAAAATTTGAGGATGACACTAAGATGGGAGAGGTTGCAAGCACTTTGGATTAGAATTCAAAATGACCTTGACAAATTGAAGAATTAGTCTGAAATCAACAAGATTATATTCAATAAAGACAAGAGCAAAGGAAAAAATCAAATGCACAGCTACAAAAAGGGGAATAACTAGCTAGAAAGCATACTGCTGAACAAGATCTGTGGGTTATATTGGACCACAGATTGAATAGGAGTCTTTTTTGCAACTGCATCACTGTGTTGGCTACTATAAGTCTGGGTTGTATTAACAGGAATGTTGCATGTGTAAGACATGGGAGGTAATTTTCCCACTCTACTCAGCGCTGGTGAGGCCTCAACGGGAGTACTGTATCCAGTTTTGGGCATCATAGTAAGAAAGATGTGGGAAAATTGGAGACAGTCCAGAAGACAGCAACAAAAATAATAAAAGATTTTGCAAGAGGAAAGGTTTAAAAAACTGGCCATGTTTAGTCTTGAGAAAAGAAGATTGAAGGGGGATCTGATAACAGTCTTCCAATATGGTAAGTATTGTTATAAAGAGGATGGTGATCAATTGTTCTCCATGTCCACTTAGGGTTGCCAGGTGTCCAATTTTCAACTGGAATCCGGGTTAAAAAGGCACCCTGGTGGCTCCAGTCAGCACTACTGATGGGACGGTTAAAAGTCCATTTGGTGGTGCAGTGAGACTAAGACAGGCTCCCTGCCTGCCGTGGCTCTGCACGGCTCCCAGAAGCTGCAGCATATCCTCCCTCCAGCTCCTAGGCATAGGGGCAGCCAGGGGGCTCTGTGTGCTGCCTCCGCCCCATGTGCCAGCTCCACAGATCCCATTGGCCAGGAACCATGGCCAATGGAACCTGCAGGGGTGGTGCCTGCGGACAGCCCGCAGAGCCACCTGGCCATGCCTCCACATAGGAGCCAGAGGTGGGATATGCTGCTGCTTCCAGGAGGTGCCTGAGGTAAGCACCTCCTGTCGCCTGCACCCCCTTCCCACACCCCAACCTCCTGCCCAAACCCTGATCACCCTCCCGCCTTTCAAGCCCCTCAGTCCCAGCCCGGAGCACCCTTCTACACCCCAAGCCCCTCATCCCCAGCCCCACCCCAGAGACAGCACCCCCAGCCAGAGCCCTCCCCCCCACACATCCCAACCCCTCAGCCACAGCCTGGAGCCCCCTCCTGCAAATCCCTGGCCCCACACCAGAGCCTGCACCCCCAGATTGAGCCCTCACCCCCTCACCACATCCCAACCTCCTGCCCCAGCCCAGAGCCCCCTCACTCACTCTGAACCCCTCATTTATGGCCCCACCCTGGAACCCACACCCCAACCCCCTGAGCCAGCCTGGTTAAAATGAATGAGTGAGGGAGGGTGGGGAGAGTAAGCAACAGAGGGAGGGGGGATGACGTGAGCGGGAGGTGGTTCCTCAGAGAAGGGGCAGGGCCTCACATGAGGGGCGGGGCAAAGGTGTTCAGTTTTGTGGGAGTAGAAAGTTGGCAACCCTATGTCCACTGTAGGTAGGACAAGAAGTAATCAGCTTATACTGCAGCAAGGGAGATTTAGGTTAGATATTAGGAAAAACTTTCTAACTAGAAGGATAGTTAAGTCCTGGAATAGGTTTCCAAGGGAGGTTGTGGAATCCTTGTCATTGGAGGATTTTAATAACAGGTTAGACAAACACTCGTCAGAGATAGTCTACATCTATTTGTCCTGTATCATCACAGAGGATGGAAGGGAATGACCTCTCAAGGTCCTTTCCAGCCCTACATTGCTATGAGTCTATACACTGTATGAGAGGCTTGTGAATCAGTGACTTCCAGAAGGCTTTGTTTCTGAGGAAAAGTCTCAGAGAAGCTGGGTATGCAATTATCACTTGTTTGAAAATCTGTGCCTCAGGCTGTATTTAGGGCCACATGTTCAACTATGCAGGAATGACCTGCATCAAAATCTGGCAGTTCCCCTTACAGAGTTTCCTGACAAGATTCCTTCAGAGGGGCAGAATGAGTGGGGGGGCTCAAATCTCAAGCCCAGCAGATCCTTACACTGCATGGAATCTCAGGGGCTTCAGCGAGGCCAGGACCATCTTCACAAAGACTGTGTGGGTCAAGAGTGGGTTTCCACCCCCTCCAAGCAGCATCAATGTACCATGCAGTTGGTAGAGGAATGACAACTGGACAAGGCCCATTTCCTCAGACCTGGTCCTGCACAGGTGTGACTAGATATCACATGGCAGCTCATTCTCAAAGCATCTTTGAATGGGTCAATGTTACCAATAAACCCATTTTCAACCATCTTGTCATATATAACGGAGTGAAAACATTTTAAGGAAGGGAGGATAATTTAATACTACCATTGTCTGGAGACTGGTGGGTAAACCATTATGCCTCTTAATAATTTTAGGCTCTGGATGGCACATTTTCAATAGCTACAGAAGCTCTCTGGCTGTACACATCTGGTTTAGAACCTCCTGTAGTCTCCTTTAAAGATCAGACTCCCCATTTGTTCTTTAGTCAATGCTGCTTCTGGCTCGAAGTCACACTGTCTTATTCAAAAGCAGAGTCAAATGTAAAAAATTGTTCAGTAATTAACTGGTAATTTGTAGGGGAGGTAAGGTGTCTTTACAATAGGGGCTTAATGGGATCCTATTGAAAATGGTCTGAAAGTACCGCATGAAAATACAGGGAAAGACATTTGACCTCATCTGCACCAGTTTCACAAATAAAGCCTTAATAGCAGCTTGCAATCACACTTGGTTGGGCTTTATTTCCCCAACACGCAAGGTCCAAACTACAAGGCCAGAAGCAGTGACTCACTCTGCCAGCTGCTGGGATGGTACAGAGCAGCTTGCTGTTCTGCCACAAGCCATTTGACGCATGTTGTAAAAGCCTCCTATACAGCTGATTCCTCCGGAAAACGTCTGATGGAGATATGTCTGATTCTTTGTTGAATGTACATTTTTGGTGGGAGGAAAGAAAAATAAAATCAGATTTTTTTTAAAACAAGACACACAGAGCTAAGCAATATTAATGACAGTAGGTGACTGAAAAAAAGGGTTCTGAGGGTTTCTCCTGCAAAAGCAATGTAACGTATGGCTCTCTCTTTTACTCACAAGGCTGTGCATAAGGATATTGCGGCAATGTTACTACATCCAATTCTAAAACAAGGAGACGAGGTTATAAGATTGGGGTGTAGGTCTTTACAATTTATATCATGGGTCAGATCCTCATGGGAATAACACCATCTGAGGACCTGACCCTATGATTCTGTTATCAGAAACTATGACTAGGAAAACTCTATTTGTCTTATCTATTAGGTCAGAGCCGAAAGTCAAGATGAATGGTGATCTAAAAATGGCCATTTCCCTCTCACCCACCTCCCATTATCTTTTAGGGCTGATTATCCACCTGCCTATACCATTTGACACTGATGTAACACCCACTGAAAGAGGAAATCACCAGTATAGCCAACAGATGTAATGTTGGTGGTACTTTTCAGCAGAAGGTATGTCTTCCCCCCGTCCTCAAGCGTGGGCGACTCTCCAAAGGTCTGGAGTTTAGCTTCGGAATGAATAAGCAGCCACAGATTGGGGATTGACACAAACTGTATATGACCTCTCTAAATATCTTGATTTTTCATAATTTGGCTGAAAAAGTTTCACATGAGCTGGCTTACCTCATGAGACTTCTCGGACTTCCTGTTTCTAAACTGCCCTAAACTACCATGAGATCAGCCGTCCTTGGGGTATTTTAGCATTTCTGGATCCAGACCTGGCTAGAATTCAGAAGCGTAGAGGCAACAGCACTAATGAAAAATAACAGTGTGAGGTGGGGAGAAGTTAAATGGACTTTTTAAAAATCTTCAGAAACATTCAGATGCAAATTGGCAACATTTCATGGACAGGGTGGGAGGGAAGGTGAGGAGAGCATCTTAGCTTGCCTGACCTGTATAATCCATTCCAAGTGTATATATCTGAGGTTGGGTGTAATGCATTCAGCAATGTATCAAAAGTCAAAACCCATCAGAAAAAGCCACTATTCTTTTCCTCAGGCTATTCACTGCTACTGATTTCCCACCAACATCCTCTTCACATCACATGCTGTGTTCACACCTCTTCCATACCTCAGAAAAATTGATTAACTGATATATGGAAGAGTTGAAAATCCTCAACTCTATAAACTTTCTGAGGATACAAAATTTCCTGCTTTGGGGCATAAGCCAACCACTACATGGCTGAAGTTAGGAAGAAAGTCTTGGAACCCCAGAAAAGCTCCAGGAGACTGGAAGAAAGTTAATGTTGTGACAATATTTCAAAAGAGTAAATGGGATGACCTCAATAATTATGCCAATCTGACATCGATCCCAGGCAAGATAATGGAGCAGCTGATATGGGATTAATGAATAAAGAACTAAAGGAGGGTAATATAATTAATGGCAATTGACATGGGTTTATAGAAAATAGATCCTGTCAAACTAACTTGATATCTTTTTTGATATCATTACAAGGTTGGTTGATAAAGGTAACAGTCTTCAGTCTCCTCTGTGGAGTCTGCATTGAGAAGCCACAAAACTCTGGACACTTATGATCTCCCATGAATGGATGCCAAGAATTCCATTCATTCATTCAGGTCCCTCTCAATCTCTTACATCTCTCACTGGCTGCCAGGCAACTCTAGCAACATTGCAGTATCTGTGCCATAGCTGGGCTGTTTCATTTATTAATTTATTTATTCATTAGCAAGCCACTATGACCCACAATGGGATGTTATCTTGTCCCCAGGCACAAGCAACAGGTACATATGCTAATCAATCAGAGCCTAGGCGCTTCACACCATTTGCCAGCATAGATAGAGACGTGTTCAAACATACAAAAGCACTCAAATCAGGGCAAATCCATTCTTAAAAACACAGCTAGAATCCATGTTCTCCCCTATCTGTCCCGTGTGTATTACTGCCCGTTCCATTTTCCTACAGATTCTATAAATCAGGCAAAATGCCTTCATTGTAGCGTGACACAAAGCAGAGGAAATCCATTTTACTCAGGCCCTGCCTACTCTGCTGTCTCATTTAATACCATGATAGATTCACAACTTATCCACAAAACCGTCAGCCGAAAATCTGTTTCTAACTCTGACTTCTTTAATAATCTGGATGCGGCGACAGAAGAGGCAAAAGGAGTATTTGTGTACTGTGTAATGGGCCGTAGATTGGAGGCATGTTCCACCATCCAGCTTTACCGACACAGCAGTTCAAGCCGTCCAACAATCAGATTTCAGCACAAAGTGCCATGGTATTCTTGGGGGCTTGGTTCATTTTTTCATAGTTTTGGGTCAATCTGACACTGTATTTTTCATGAAATAAACTATGTGTCTCAAAAATGTCACCCAGCTCTAGCGCGTAGCCTCAGCTGCCCCCCACCACAGCTTGAGGCGCAAGATGAGCAAGGGCGAGCAGGGGAATAGGTTCTCTGGTATGGGCAACTGGGCCTTTAAGGCAGAGGTCTTCAATCTGTAGGGCATGCCCCACTAGGGGGGCACTGAGTAATGTTCAGGGAGCATGGCTGGGGCCTGGACAAGCCCCCCCAGAGGGTGGGGAGGGAGCACTGCCCAGCTCTGCCTCTGACCTTGGCTGCCTGCCTGCGCCTGGAGTGCTGGCTGCCTGCCTGCGCCCTCAGCTGTGGCTCCGGCCCCCTTAAACCTGTCTGCGTCCTCCCCCTCTCAGAGCTGTGGCTCGGCTCCTGGCTTTGTGTGTGTGGGGGGGTGTGCAGACAGGGGTTATGGGGGGCACAAGGTAAAAAGTTTGGGGACCACTGCTTTAAGGGCTGAACTTCCCCGACAGTCTGCATGGGGTGCTGTGAAACTCTTGTTAAGCACAACCAGTTGGAACTGGACACAGAATAAAGCAGATCTGAGATCTCTTACAAGGTCATTAATCACGGAGTGACCACCCAAATAACCCAGATAAATCTCCCAAACATACTCTGATTCCAAACCACATTGCAAGATCTCCACCAGATCTGGAGTTGAATATTTTAAGTTCTTAGAATCAACATGGGAGTAAACTCTGAATGCACTTTAAAGTAATAGATTTCAGCTCATAATTCCATGCCCAATACACATTAACACAGTCTGGATTTTATTCAGCCTACAAAAATATCAATGCAGAAAATGGAAATATGCACTAGTATATGGACAGTGTGGATAGTTATATCCATGTAAAGATCAATACATAATACTCTCACGAAATAATAAGTGCTTTATTCCTCAGCCTTTGTGTTTCATGTCTGAGATTTATCGTTGTACTTGGAAAGTTTCCTAGTTATTGGCTTTACCCTTTTCAAGGACTCTGGAATGAAGGGCAGTTGTGATTACCTATTAACTGTCGACTTCATTTGACTGTAAATCATGGTGAAAAATTCCAATTTTACATATTTAAAACAGTGGAAAATATATATGACCGGTCACAACTTTTTGTTAGACTTGTGCTAATGCTTCAATGAATATGTTATAAGAGTGACCATAAATTATTCTGTCTTTGAAAAGAAAAAAAGACAACATCAGCCAACCATAAAGATTATGCCACTCTCAAACCTGGCAAGACCTTAAAGTGGAAAACGACATGTAGTCATTACGAATGCTTTCATTTTGGCAAGGATCAAATCGCTCCATTGGTTTCAGATGTAACCTAACACAAAGAATAGTCAGTGGCTAAGGTGAGGATGTACATGTTCACACTGTTTGAATTAATATCTTTTCACAGCCCCAGACTATCTTAATCTGCTGTCACATTCCCTGCAGAGAAAATTCTTGTACCACTACCTAGGTGGATATCCTTCCACAAAACCAAATATCTCCAATCCACTGTGTAGTCCAATGAGACTAGGAACTCTGTTTGACCCGGAATGAGGAAAGTTGAGAGTTTTGGGTCCCAATCTTTTTGCCAATGGGATTGCTTTGGTTTCAGACAGATTCATTCTTACCTGCTATAATTCACTAGCATGTACAGTTGTACTTAAGCTCATTTTCTTATGCCCGGCCTAGCTGTGCAGGCAAAGGGCAGTGTTACGGTACCTGTACTGTAGATATTTGCAATCATTTTGCAGGAATTTTCTCTCCTAAGCCCCAGAGACAGGATACATGATATCAACCTCTTACATATGTCATCAGGTTTCTAATATAAAATAACTAGAGACTTACATTGTGGGTAAGGCTAAGTCTTGCAGTTCTGAGCAATTGTTTCTGTGGTTTTCCCATTTTCCCTTCCAGCATTGTAATTGGAGGGTCATCTAACCATCTGAGAGCATTTCAAATGCCGCCCTCTTGGGTGCTCGAGAGCTGAGAAACAGCCCACTGAAAACTGTAACAGAACCTAGAGGATTTGGGGCCAGTAAAATGTAGCACTGAACAAATGATCTGCTCTGAACAGCCAGGAACTGGGGGGAGAAGTTTATAAGCAGTAGCAGCAACCACTTCTGCAGAACATCTGCCTTTTGGGGATCTGCCAAATGCATTGACATGTAGAACAGCTAATCCAAATGATAGCCGGTGATCCTCCCGAAAAACAAAACATACTCTAAACATTTGAGATGCATGGCACTGTAGAGTGGGTACCAACTATAATCCCCATATTTTAACAAACAAATTCACTGAAGAAACAGTATCATTCATTATCATTTCCTTTCATTTCACAATACATTGGTACGGGTCCTAAGTGTCATAAATAAATAGACATAGCTCCACTGAAGTTAATGGATCTTTGCTGATTTACACCAGCTGAGGTTCTGTCCAAATATGTTTAGCCCACAAATTTCTGTTGCTTTTGTAGTATACCAGAAGCATTTGGGTGGGTGACAGCTTATGGCTAGTATGATAAGTGTGTGCAGTAGTTATAGCAGGGACTCCTGGATCTTCTCCTGACTTTGATACTGCCAATGTGTCACCTGGCAAAGATATTTAGGTCTACATTTGCAGAAAGTTATGTGCACAAATGCTGGCGCAAAAATTGTGTGTGCATTTGTGCATCGAAGCCACATGTGAAATTACCAGGATTACATTATTTGAAAATCTTACCCTAAAATCTCTCTGTATCTCCATCTGGCCAGTGGGAATATCATTGCCTGCTTCATAGCGGTATTGTGTAGCAAGGTTTGCAAAGTTGCTGTCTTCAGGTGAAAGACTCCATAGGTTTAGTGAAAGAAGAATCAAAACCAACAGAGTTACTGTCCAAATTATATGAGAATTGGGCCCCTTATGTATCAGCATATCTCCATTGCCCATCTTTGTAGCATTTCGGCAACAAATAGAGTGTGTACAGAACAGCATGTATAAGACTGCAAAGTATTGTTACTCTCAATAACAGCAGGTGACCTCTTCCCACAATAGGTCTGGGCATTCAGAACAGTTTGCTAGAATCCACCTGGTTACATCCTGGAGGTTTGTAATGGTTATCCTCCCGATTTGGATGTCAGAGAGTTGAAAGCTATTTGGCGTTTACTTACCTCCCCA